TACCCTCAATAACATATTTTTTTCTTTTGTTAACCTTGGATGTAGGTTACATTCAGTTAAACTGTATAATAGAGATGAGTGACGTGATTTTTAAATATATCAAATCAAATCAAAATTATTCATTCAATCTAAGCTGTTGAGTTGCAATGAGTTTAATGATAAGTTGTATATATCTATAACATTTAATATAACATTCTATTGTAAAAATCACAAGCTCTCCTTGTAAAACTATTTTTAGTAAAGCAAGCTTTGCTGAGTAATGTTTTTTTATAATTATATTTTATAGACATGCATGAATTTATGTATATATAAAAAAGTATCATCCATATAATAAGTTGAACTCTAAAATTAATCTAATTTTTAAAATTTCCCGCTAAAACACCATCTCCTGTCATGGCGTCACTGCAACGTCACATCTTTTTAAAACTAATATAGTTCTAAGTATGCATAGGGTTTAATTAATAAAAAAACGAGACTTCACGTGCTGTTTGCGGTCACCATTAATTTCAGTAACATTACATATATAATAAACACAAACGTGTCATTACCAGTAATAACACATTAAACACTACCACAAAAAAAAAACGTTTACTGTCTACACCCCCATGATCAGTATTGTCTAATTTCAAAATGTATCGCAATCCCGTCCAAAGGTTTCGATTGTGATAACTATTTATGGAATTATGTAACGATTAAAATCGCAATCGCTTTTTGATCGAACGATGATTTGAATGATCAGACATAATAAAAACTAAGGGTATGTTCCGATATACACTGCGAGCACTGCACAGAGGTCTTACTGCTGAAAAATCCGTTCCGTTATGAACTGCCAGTACACTGCTACAGTACCCTAGGGAAATTTATGACGTCATTAATTGCCGCCATATTTGTACTGTGAGCACTGGAGATTTCGAGGTAAGGTGCTCGCAGTGCTTCTGATCACGTGATCAGTCGAAACAGAATCAGAAAATGATAAGTTTCTAAATAAACAAAAAAAAAATACTTACGTTTATTTATAAGATGGATTTAATTGATAAATAATTTTTTATACAATTTTCCAATTTTATAATATTTTCTTTTGAAAAGAGGGAATCTTTATATTTATATTCACCTTGCATTAATAAATTTGAAAATGGCGCCAAAAAATAGGATTAACAGTATACTGGACTGCGTGCCGTTTTAAAAAGTCACCAGTATAACTAGCTATAAAGGAACGGGCTTCCAGTATACTAAATTGACGTCATACTGTTCAGTGGTCGCAGTGTATATCGGAACATACCCTTAGTAACGTAATATTTGAGTGTAACGGTTGCCTTAGGAAATTCCAATTAACTTCAATTTAAAGATATTGTTCTTTTAATATATTTCTAAAAACCATCGCGATCGTAATCGCTATGATATATCAAATAATCGTAGCGTGAATTTATGAAATTAATCGATAATGGTGCTCAAACTTCAAATCGAAAGCAGTTATTGTTCAATAACTAATATCAAATACTTATATGATTAATATGAATTAGTTCACGTAAATTATTATAGCCAATGTCAGCCACGTTTGTTTCCCGTAGCAAACGAACAAATCTTTCTTCTTTATATAATTTGTATATCTATCATTACAGTTTATAACAAAATTCATTTATGCGTTTAATTTAGCTTAGCAATAATTAATGACAGACGCCGCGGCCCGCGATCTTAGTCGTTAAGCAACTTTCGCAAGGGTCGGTCACGGGATGGGTGACCAAAAAATTATTATCTCGAGCTACTCCGTGGTTCGGAAGGCACATTAAGCCGTTGGTCCCGGCTGCATTTGCAGATGTTAATACCCTCCAATCCACATTGGGCAAGCGTGGAGGGTCATGGCCCATCCTCCTTAACCATCCATAAAAAAGGCCTGAGCTCCTGCAGTGGGGACGTAAAAGGGCTGGTGATGATGAATAATTTATGTGAATAATGATATTCTATATAGAATAGCAACACTTACCATGAAGACAATTTCTTGCTATAAATATAACTTTTCCCGTTGCTAAGTGAGATCATCGGATGGCCATCTTCTAGGAGAGTGCAGTTAGTGACAGTTACTAGAAAGAAAAACAGCAAAAACTCAAAAAAAAAAAAATCTTAAATACGGGCAACTCATTTCATAGACTTTTAAGAGATACATTGATATACAATAATAACCCTGTAATCATCAATGATTTCGTATTTATTAATTTATAGATGTATAAGACTCGCTATACAAAAACCTCGGAACGCGGTTTTAATGAATAGATTTTTGTGAAACCACTCGCATTGCCCTGTTAAGTTAGCTTAAAAAAAAGTTTACCTTCAAAATTTTCCGATCCTTATTTACCAAAAAAAAGAAATGATCGGACATGCCATACATTTTCTACAAAAAACTGGTTTTTTTCCACTTAAAGCTGGATTATACATAAGATAACAAATAAATTGAAAACTGTTTTATTTTAAGTGAAAGTTGTTCAATATTATTAAAAACTTGTCCTTCGAGCCTCGAGGGTGATCAATGCTCCATTATGTTTTTTTTTTAATAGCCCAGCCTTACATCTGTGGCCGCGCTCCTATTCTGCACTCCACTCAGTAGCAGGCCTTTGTTGTTATTAGGTTTTCATGCAGTCCAGTTCTGTTAATTCCACATTCCTTACATTTCTCTTTCTATCCTTCCTGTCACTTCACTCCTCGAGCCCACTATAATGTTATATACTATTAACTGTTAAAATTAAGTGAAATTCTATGGTATCTAACTCACCGTTGGGTGCTAGAAGACCTCGGAAACACAGTGGCCGCACTAGACAGGTCGCGTTGCCCAAGTCCCATATAGCCAACTCGGCGGCCGTCGTCACCACAGCCAATGTGTCACCTGATAGTGTCATCTTGACAGCGGGAGACATTAAAGCTGTCACATAAAAATGTATGTCAGTTATACAATACCGGTGTCGATGAGGCAGTGTTTTATGAAAAAAAAAGAAAGCACTAAAAAGCACGTCACTAGATGGCGACTCTACCAAAGGTTGTTTTTTGCAAGAAACGAATAGACCAATAGTCATTTCAGTTCCTTTTAACTAACGTAAATTCGAAAAAGTACAAATAGAATATGAGTTGTTTATTGAGTTTTGAATACTAATTTACTTTTAAACATGAATGATAACCGGGAAGGTTGTCATGGAGAAATCAAGAAAGCACCGTAGCGACATCTAGTTTGATTCGAGAACAAACGTTTTTTTTCCCCTTATACTTGTAGATTTTAAGTTAAACCTACAAGTATAAGGGAATATGGGAATTGAAAGATCATGTTTATATCGTAGGATTGTGGCAAATCTAGTTTTTTTTTTTTTATCTTAACCTAAACAGTTTTATTAATTAACAAGGTTTAGCGTTGGAGTACATTTACGTTAAGTGCACTTAGTATTAGTAAAAATTCATATTATTTAACAGAGACTTAGTAAAGGTTAAGCTATACGAGGTTCTATGGAATTAATATTTACTCCTAGAAGGTAGTAGGTTTGCATATTCTCTGTATAATATGAATTTAGACTAATACTAAAATTGCAATTTTAACGTATATTAACTCTGACACTAAACCTTGTTTATTAAAAGCACTGAAACCGTTTAATTATAAAACCGAACCAATTAATTTTATCATAAATTTAATAGTGATCATTATTTTATATTTAAATAAATGAATTAAGGAGAGTCAATAAAAACCTCTGAAATCGAATAATCCCATGAAATACAACGTGTAACATAATTAATGCACATCCTGCAATTAGTTTGTTTAAAATCATATACTGATTCGATTTTTACAACTTCTAATATAGGTTTTATTTGCTAAATTTAAATGAAATAAATAAATCATGGACACTTAATATGATAGCAATGCCATGACAGAAGATGGCGTTTGCGAGGGAGTTTGATTTAGCATACCAATACTCAAACGGATGACTTATAATAAGAACAGTAATTTATTTTTCAGAATAAATCTTTAACCTGTATACATTTACAAAATCATTTTTTATTTTAAATTAAAATATAATTACAATAATTAATTAAAATAAAAAATAATAATAAAGTAAAGAAGCAAATATTATGTGTGATAGTACTGCAACTGTGCGTCATACCAAACCGTTTATTTCGTGCTAAGTTCTCGCATCCAAACATTTTGCCTGAGATCTTTCATATCAATTATTACTTACTATTATTATTACTCACTTTTCGTAATTTGAAATTTTGAGTACCGCGATATTCTCTTTCTTCGTGAAAAATCATCCAGTGAAAACGTGCCATCCAATTGTGATACAAAAATGTGTTAGAATTTACCAACAAACACATTACTTTTGTAAACATATTAATAAAGTTCCATTTGCTATACGACCCGAGAAAGACTTTATTTATTTACACTATAAAATATATAAAGTTATCAAGCTCAGTCAGCCTAACTGGACCCGTTCCCGTACAAGTATATATGGGCGTACGTAGTGAATACATGGGCGTACCTAGTGTAGACATAGGGCGTACCTAGTGTACACATGGGCGTACGTAGTGTACACACGGGCGTACGTAGTGTCCACATGGGCGTACATACCGATAGGCGGCAGCGCGCGGTCGGCGGTGTGCGCGCGCAGCCGCCACACGTGCAGCGCGCCGTCGGCGCAGCCCGCGCACGCCCAGCGCGCGTCGCACGACACGCACGTCACCGCGCTGCCTGCGCGACACACAGATATATTACTCATTTAGGTGCCTGCATAACATTTTAGTTCACAACTATATAAGATCAGACGACGTTAGAGTTCGAATGGACAAATTTAAACTTTTATAGATTCATCATGTCTGTATGTCACAGACACTTTATTCCAAAACTATTAATTTGTCTGTTGTTCATATTCTAACGTTATTTTTTGTTATTATTCCGTTATTGTTAAACCATAGAAGTGTTTTAAATATTATTTTATGTTGTATTACTTCACACTGATCGCCGATAGATGGCGCTGATTGTTTTGTGAAACTCGGTATCGAGTCGTATTACAATAATGTATTTATAAACTGTCTGTTCATGTCGATTACATCATTTGCCTACACTATCACAACCTGTCGTTTTATTCATAAACTTGGTTTGGTAGTAATAATTTTTGGGAGAATTGTACATTGTGTGGACCATGTTTTTAAGTAGATGCATTTTTTTTTGAAGATTTAAGATTATCTCTTTTTTCTTATTTAAAAATATTTAATTAGGGTTTTTTATAATTTTACTTTTATACATAGGGACAATACAATTAATAGAATATTTTTTAGTGCCCACCATCGAGTAATAAACAAAACGCAGATACAAGAGATGCTCACAAACGAACTTATAATGTTACCGAGCCGCGTCTTCGCCGTCATGTTCGATAGTGTGACGTCCTGAAGGCACGATTAATACATGGCTGGTTTACACATAGTTAAAATAATAAATAGATTTTTATTGATTACGTGTAAACACCTAAATAAGTAATAAATACTTAATAAAATATATATATATATATATATATATAACTATTTATTAGCTTAATTGAATTTATAATTAGTATATTTTACGTATTAATTTAACGATTATTGCGGGTCTCTGTATATTATAATGAGGAAGTATTTTAAAAAAAAGGAAACCACTAAAAAGTGCTAGGTGGCGACTCTAGCAAAATTTGACTTTTGCAAGAAACGAACGGATCAAAGGCAGTCATTTCCGTTCCTTTTAACTAACGTATTAAGAAATTGAAATTTACAAAGTTCGAAACTTAGATATCAATACAAATTCGAAAAAGTATAAACAGAATGTGTCGTTTATTGAGTTTTGGTATTTAATTTACTTTTATACATTAAAGAAAGCCGGAAGGATTGTCATGGAGAAATCAAGAAAATACCGTAGCGACATCTAGTTTAATTTCGGGAACTAATTTTTTTTTTTTTTTGTAAAAACATCCTCATTACAAAATTAAATTCAACCAAATACGTACGCATTCGTTGATAATAGATATCAGCTACGAAAATTATACAATCTGAAAAATTTACCTAAATATGTCTCCCATACGGGGTCGTTGGATGCAGAATTGTTGGGCAGCAGCTGAAGGCGAGCCAGCGTGCCATAGTATGTGCTCACCGCTTTGTTCACTATCTGAAAAACGATATTGCCGCTAAGGTATTTTAATTTTATCCTTACTTATCCTCTCTTGTAAATTATAAACACTAATCGTATCGAATATATGACTCATGGAAAATCCCCACATTGCTAACGCGCCTGACGGCCATTTTGGTGACGTAATAGTGTAAAAATCGGTACCGTTAACAAATAAACACTGGTGAAGAGTAAACTTCTTGAATTGGATTGTGTTGAGATCACACACAATTTTTGTTGTTTTCTATTGGTATTATTTGATATTTTTTTCTAAAGTAATAACCGTTGTTATGATTTCCACAATAAGAAAACCTGATTTCATTAAAAATAAATATATATCTAATGTCTCCCATATCATTATTACTTTTGACTATTACAATGTTTTAAAAAATCGTCCTTTCCTTTTGTTATCAATTTCTTATAAAGTAATTGTTATTTTTAAAATATTTATGTTTTTCATATACCTCAATATTAACATATAAATTGGCCTTTTTCGAAAATTCTTGGAATAAATAAACAAACTGAAAGTTATTAAAATATTTGTAAAAATATTTTGATGATCAATCATGAATATTTTAATACCTAATTAATAAACAATATATCTCTTGCGTTTTGTGCTATCTATACTTTATATTTTCATATGATGTCACGCGGGTGTTATTAGACAAAGTTCCAGCGCATTAGCAATTTACTGGACTTAAGTATACAAATAAATATTTGATGAGTGTTGTAAATAACACTGTTTCAATCTAAATAAACATATACAGTATGTAATGTAGTGTGTATGTGGGGACGGGGGCGGGGGCGGGGGGCGCGGTATAGTGAGGTACCTGCAGCCGGAGTGCGCCGGCGGCGCGCACGACGGGCCCGGCGGTGCCGAGCGCGGGCGCGGGGAGGGGCGCGGCGGGAGGAGGGGGCGGGGGCGCGCGCGCCCTCTTGCCCTGCACCTCCTCCGCGCGGGGCCCGGGTAGCGTGCCCCCGGAACGTTTACGTAACCTCTGGTCGAGCCCGCTATGCATAAGTACAAAAAACAAATCAAAATCACCAATATATTCATTCACGCAGATGGAGCACTTTTTAAAACCAAAATATACTTGTTCCGTAGTGAAGCTGTTTTCGCATAAAAATATATTTAATTTAATTTCTATGGTATGATAAGCACAATTCCGTTTCAAACTTGGTTAGGATTAATGACTTCATTATATCTGACCACTCATTCTTAATTAGTTCATAAGCCCGCCGCCATAAATTACGTCACACGTTAAGGGGGAGGGAGGGGGTCGACAAAGTGTGACATTGTGTGACAAGGGGGTGGGAGGGTCCTAAATTTCGTGACGTCACACTTCAAAATCTATTATAATCTAAGTGTTAAAATACGAACTTTTAACTATTACTTTACAAAAACCTTGCAAAATATGTGACATTACGCTAGGAGGGGGGAGTCTTACAAATGTGACCAGCTGTAACTAGGACGGGGGGAGGGGCAAAAAAAGTCATGAAAATCGTGTGACGTAATTTATGGATGACCCCTTACCAAGGAAGCGACACAAGCATAACCACCTTTTTCAAACAAACAAAGTTCAAGACATTGCGCTTTTCAACGTGTTACGTGCGGCTGTAAATGTGATATTTTACAATATATTTCGTTGGTTACGTGCATGTGATTTCATAAAAATTCGAACAGAAAATTTCCCATTTACTATAAGCGTTTTCGGTGTGAAAACTACAAGGAGGAAGCTTTGTACAGTGACCTATGAAACTTTCGTGTGGTCACTCCCGCTATTTGACCGCTATCCCGAAGGAACGTGCAGGCCCAGAGAACAGAGGTGAGTGGCCAGTCTTCTTAACAATACTTAATCATTTAAAAAAATATTTTCACCTTTTCTAGTATTATGTAAAAATTCAATCAATAAATAGGATCGACAAAACTAACCGCTAAAAGTGATCACTTGTTAAATATTTTTTTTCAATTTCTAGAAATAACTTTATTTGCAAATTACTCTAATCATTTAAATGTTAGTGAAACTTACTTATCTGAAAGTCTGGAATTGTTGAGTGCGGCATGATTACTGACATTAGGATGTATGATGATATCGTCTCGCACTTCCACACGGATCCTCGATTTACTTTGCGAGGATGTGCTGAAGCAGTGCTCTCCGCCACCCGGCTGGGAACCTAGGGATTCACTGAGAAACAATAAAAAAAAGTTTCATTTTGACCTCTAAATAAATACTCTAGATAAATACTCTAAATAATATATAAAAAAATCACGCGACCATTAAAGAAAGAAACAGTAAAAAAAAGCATGGCAGGAACGGAAGTGTTCCAGAAAAGTAATAAAAGTGAAAATATTGCAAACAAACTGACGACATAGTAGATATGTTGACATAAAACAGTCTCTATGTACCACTGTAACAACAAACACACTGCTTATACCCATGCTGGTTTAAGAAGTGTGTTTATAGACATTTTAAAAAGAGAATTTAAGAACTTGAATTTTCCTGAACATAGCAGACACAATATAAAATATTGTCAGCGTACCTGTACATAATTTAAAAAAAATGTTTTGAACCCCTGAAAGTTCGTTTACATTCATTAACCAGTTAACCTTACTTTAGGATAATACAAACGAGCAAATAATACTTACTTGGCGTCGATACTGGTGACGGGTATGAAGACAGGTGTGATGCGTCGTTTACCGTCGGACGTGCGCGTCTCTATCTGCCTGTCGACAGGTCTCACTACGCTCAGCGTCGGCTTACACTAAATAACTCATTACAATCAGTTTCAACTACTAAGGCGGATGATTAATCTTCGTTTGCACATAGCAGATCTACTATTAATCTCGGTTTGGGCACAGCAGAAAATTTCGATGATGACCGAACGTACCATTAAAATGTATAATGACTCTTGTTTCAATGACAATAAGATGTAAAATACAAATAGGTGTTTATCTCACTCATACTCACTGTCGCGGTCAGAATATGATGTTTTTGGTAACCGTTAAAATAAAATATCAGTATTATTTTATAATCACTGGATTATTTCCTTCACAATGTCGCACCAATTTTTAATTTAACCCAAAATATTATCAATTATTTTTAAAACAAGTTTCCCTAAATTTTCACACACTAAAAGTTTAACGACACGAATGTTAGAAAAAAAGAGGAACCATGAAAAACTTTAATAGACTCACCACAGATTTATCACTCTTAGGCGTGGTATCCTCTTTGATGACTTCCTTCTTGGCCTCCTGTTTCTCCCGCGCCAGTAAAATCTCTGGACACTCAACGAGCAGATTCGACGATAAGTCATTACCAGATTCGTTCGCTAAACATTTGCCGTAAATCTTCTCGTAAAACGCGTTCTGAAATTAATAAAAAAATATCAAAGTTCGCTTAACACAATATATCACCCAAGCCATTAATCAGTTATTTGTTTTTTATTTAGCTGAGATACAAGAAATACGATACATATCAAGATATTTAGGTGTATGGATGGAGGTGTTTAGATGTATGGTAAAAAGTGTATTTTTTTTTATATAAAAGGAAAACTACCGATTTGACCGATTAACCGATTTCAAAATCCAAAAGGAAGACGGAGGTCACCGATAATTCAGCTAATTGTTCACCAATTTTTTATTCAATGGCTTAATAGTCTGAGGTGCTTCTATTTAAATTTTATCGGAATCGAATCAGTAGTTTTCCTTTCATATAAAAAAAATTACGCTTTTTACCATACATTTAAACACCTCCATCCATACACCTAAATATCTTGGATATGTATCGTATTTCTTGTATCTCAGCTAAATAAAAACAAAAGATTGCGTATTTTGAATTCATTCAAATTCCGAAAGGAGGATTTTTTATGTTCAAGGAGTATGTATATTTTTTATGGAAAGTAGGTACGTCGATCGATTTCTTCTTGAATTGTGAAGCAATTTCTATCAAACTAGCTGTTTCCTCGCGATTTCGCTTGCGTAAATTATAGTCTACATCCAACACGTATTATGTAGCTTTCCGTGGGCGAATTTTTTTTATAAATCGACTTAATAGTTCCGGTTCCTATCCAATGCAAACGAACAAGCAATCAAATTTTTCCTCTTTATAATATGAGTTTAGACTTACTGAAAATAATTGTCGCTATTGAGTAAGTATTATTTATCACTTTTTAAAGTTTGAAGTCGGTTCCAATTTATTTTAACTATTTATGTTTCTTCAAAAATAGTCTTTTAACTATTGCCTTTAGTATTATAGATTTTAACAAAATAAAAGTTTAAGACTACGTTATCTTCATATTCAAATTAAAATGATGTTTGCTGTCATATTATTACATATTATTCTGAATGTAGTAATAAAATTTATAATGAGTCTTATTGCCAATAAGATGTAAAATACAATCTATTTAGTATCCCCAGCAGTACATGAATCATTCTGATTGGCTGGATAATCAGTCTGAGTCACATTCGTTGTATTAGTCTTTACATAGGTACATACAATAAATATGCTTAAAAAGAAATATAGGCAAATTCTTACTTAGATACTTAAGTCAATTAAATTATAATAAACTCACCTTCTCGTCCACAGTGAGAGGCGTTCCGATCTCTTTGTTAGTGAACTGTATACAAGCGACTGTCCCATCTGAACTGCACGCTAACAGGTTCAGACCTGTTCATAACAAATATATCACTCATTGTGACTATTCAAGTCAGCATACTACGATCATTATATGCCACCAATAGTTACAACCTTCTCTACAGGCATCTTTTGAGTATGCTCAAACGATTAGAACCCTTACGATTTGTTTAAAAGATATGTCTTATGACAAATCGTATTGTATAATTTGTCATAAGACATATCTTATGATAAATCGTAAGGGATTGTACAAGTACTTTAGTACTTAAATAGTGAGGTTATGATATGTCTTATGACAAATCGTATTGTATAATTTGTCATAAGACATATCTTATGATAAATCGTAAGGGATTGTACAAGTACTTTAGTACTTAAATAGTGAGGTTCACATAAGAAAAAGTAAACAGCAGATTTCTTAACATTAGGGTGTGCAAAGGTCGGCGGTCTTATCTCTAAGAACTACCTCTTCCAGATGACCCTTGGGGCAAAGAACACTCAGAGGAGGTGGTAGTATGCCAACAGTAAAATCAAGTACTCACAAGATACCATTACCAAGTACTCACAAGATCAGTATAATACATACAATATAAAATACAAATACATACCACCATATATAAAACCATATATATACCAAACAATTAACAACTAACATTCATACAAGAAATAAAAACAGCAATTCGTTAGATAGCTGACGGTAGACCATTCCAAAGTCTGGCAGCCTTCACAAAGGAATCATGATAATACCCTGACCTAATTAAAGTAATATCCAGCACACCTTTGGCCTCAGATCGTAACCTGCAACTGTGGTTCACACCCAGAAACCGGAAACGCTCCATAAGATTAGAGGGAGTACAGGGGTCGTATAGAATTTTGTAGTCTGATAGGGTTTTGTAACTCATCACGCTCATCATTCTCTTATGTCGTCATGTCTTTACTCAATTAATTGTATCTAATTATTATAAATAAATTGGACAGTGTTTTGAGATTAAATATAATAATACTAGTCTCACCGTCAGAGCTCCAAGAGAGGTCCAGCACACTATCAGTAAACAGGTCGTGTACCACAACCAGAGGGCGTTTGAGCGACGTCAGCCATATAGACAGGGCACGGTCTCTGGAACCCACTGCTGCACAGCAACACTTCTTGCCTTCTTTCACAAATATGTTGTTGTTGAACCTCTATCGTGAGAGAAAGAATATATATATAATTTAATAAGTCAGCGAATTTCGGCTTAACACAATGGTCAGTCATTAGACTCTTACTTGTACTTTCTAAAGCATGATGCAGTACCCACTAACCTGCATTGGACAGAGACCCATCTCTATGCTGTTCTTACTATGTGCTTTAATGATAATACAAACATAAATATAGTGATGAATTCATAACAGTCTCATTGCATCGCCTTCTCAAAGATCTAAATTCTGTGAGGCAACATCATTATATACTATACTTACGGCGCATGTGACAGCCTTCCTATGTCCAACGAAGTCCTTATCGCATCGCCAGCCGTCTCGCTCTACCACCTGTGCGGTGGGACCACCGCCGTTCATGGCGTGTGCTGACAACACGTATTGACCGTCCGGCGACCACGACAAACGTAACACGTGTGTAGTACCTGGCAATAGTACGTAGACTTAGTTAATAATGAAATTATTTGCAACAATTCCTTAACTGGATATAACGTAATGGTCCAAAAAAATGAATGAGTTCAATCAGGTTTGTAGAGGAGTTGTAACAGTATACCATGCATGTACTATTTTGTTTTGTGAGTGATTCAATCACTCACATTTAACAAACAAATCACACAAATGAGAAATAAAGACTAAAACCCATAAAAAATATCTATATTGGTGCCAATTCTATTTTTTAACTCTCAAAAACAAAAAAGATACGGTTTTTACAGTCTGCCTGTTATATAAAAACAATTTACCTCCACATTCTTCAAATGGATCAGTTATCACAGTTTCTTGAGCCCAGTCTGATGTCTTCCATACCCTTAAAGATTTGTCATCAGATTGTGAAGCCAAATATTTACCGACCTGCACAATATAGTTCAATCAATAAAACTAGCATCAAACCTACATTAATGTTATAAAATACTAACAACAAAAAAACTAAAAAAAAAACAGATACAATGTGAATGTGAATAATCAAACTTATATTTACCGGATCCCAAGCTACTCCTTTTACTAATCCGGTGTGTCCATTCAGTACGCACACCATTTCAGGGAACTTCTCAGCATTCCAAATAATTATAGTGTTGTCTACACTGCAGCTTGCTAGCCACTTATCCATCGGAGACCAAGCCAAGTCTAATACATCACCTGCAATAAAATAGAGACATTCATTTGGATGGATGCAATTTTTGCGTATATTTTATACTTTGTAGATTGTGATAAAATTTACTATATAAATGGTTCATTATCTGGACTTAGCTTTGGTATTGGTGACTATGCAGTTGTGTTGACATTTTTTTCATACACACAGATGCTAAAGAGGTTTAGGTTTCTAAACTTAAGTGTCAAGGTGCAAAGTTTGATAGTTACCGAGATACAATTTCTTGAAAAATATAAAGTAGAACCTTTCTTTGATGTTTTGTGAACTTTATCAAAATGTTTTTATACAGAAAACAAAAAATTATAATTAAACCAGGTTATTTTTGTGATTGGTTAGAAATTAAAAATAAAAATAAATAAAACAATACAAGGCAAAGAGCAGCATAGCAATCGCCTTGAATTTTTCAGGTCATTTTGATATTTTTTCAAAAGAAAATAAAATTTTAATGTCTACAAAACAAGATTAAAATTTTAATTACTTGGATGATATAGTAATGTTTATTTTTAATTTTTCTATGCTTCTCCATGCTTTAGCATGTGGTAGGTAGGGTGTATTACCGATCTTCTTCCATTATCTGTATTAATGTTAAGCATGATTTTTAAATTTACATACTAAGTTTCCCTAGTATCAAACCAAAAAACCAATGTTCATACTGATTATTCTTATTATTATAAATATTATCAATGGAGAGTGTAAGTTTTAATCAGTAATATCATTGAATATTTACCTGCATGTCCTCTTAATGTAGATAGACATCTCCAAGTCTCAGCTTTATGCTTTCCAGCACTTGTAGTAGATACACTAAGACCCCACACCATGACCAAGCGGTCATCACCACCAGATGCTAGATATTTACCAGCATTACTCCACCGTACACAGTTCACACAAGCTAGAAGATATGTGGTTTTATTATAATAATTAGTTTTGTTTGAAGCTAAATATTTTAAATAAAATCTACAATTATAATTGTATACTGTGTATGTGTTAGTTATTTTTTTTTTTTTTGTTTTTATAATGTATATAAGTCTCACAAAATGAGATTTGCAAAGTATGTATTATCTTTATTCATTATATATTTTTGTGGTCACGTAAATTTCAGAAGTACGTTATTATTTACCAAGGTGGTTATCCATTTGGCATAGCATTTTAGGTATATTTGGATCCACTTCGACAGACTCGAAGAGCACGGAATTAAGATTCCATACAACAACTCGACCGGAGTCGCCGCCTTGCCCACCAGTGGCGAAACGTTTGCCCGCTGGATGAATATCCACGGAAAATATAGGTTTGTCTGCAAGTTAAAAATAAGTTCAGTTTGCACAAAACACGCACATATAAATGAAATTTATGATCAGTTCAATAAATTACCATCATGATTGACCCAACTAGGTTTTAAAAGCTTCATTTATTATCGGAAAAAGGTAATAAATCAAGTGAAAATTTGAGAAAATGCTAATAACACTGGGAAATATTTTTTTTAAAAACGATGTTGACAATACAAATGACATTGACAGATCTTTTGCCGGCTAAATTTTTTTAAATGGTGTTTTACGGCTTTGGATACTAGTCTTTTTAAGTCATACATAATTTTATGAAAGAATACGAAATATAATGAGGAAGTCTTTAAAAAAACACCTCCACTAGATGGCGACTCTAGAAAAAGAAGATTTTTGCAGGAAACGAATGGACTAAAGACAGTCACTTCCGTTCCTTTAAACTAACATATTAAAAAACTGAAATTTGCAAAGTTCGAAACTTAGATATCAATACAAATACGAAAAATACAAATAGAATATGAGTTGTTATTGAATTTTGAAAATTAATTCACTTTTATACATGAAAGGAAACTGGAAGGGATGTCATGGAAAAATCAAAAACGTACCGTAGCGACATCTAGTTTGATTTCGGGAACTAATTTTTTTAATACTTCCTCATTGGGCTTTCTTCTTCTTCTTTTATAAATGGTTTATTAAATTATCTGCGCATTTCGCACAATCGACAAGTTTACTTTTCTATTTAAAATGAAAGAATAAGCACAATCAAAAAATACGGTGCAGAGATGTCTAAAATATTGATATAAATAAAAAGTTATGGGATATTGAAGTTGCGTTCGCTAGAATAATTAAATTTAATTAATAATTAAATTGGAGTATAATATCGATACAGCAATATAGTAGTATTCCAAAAAATATATACATAGTTTATGTGCGCATCTATATTGGATTTTATGACATTGATACAATATACGCGTCAATATCTATATACGGTTAGTATCACCCACTCTTTAATATTATGTACTTTTTTGAGCATCGCCTGCATCTTCAGTAAAAATCTTTTATAATTAATATATTGTCCCTATGTATTAAAGTGCATCTATAAAAGACAGCAATTTACACTTGTTTCTGACTTGCAACAAGTTTGATACATCTAAAAAGAAGATTTGCTTCAAGTTCCATGTCAACTGTAGCAACTGGTAGAAAGTTTAAATCAAACTTTCTAGTTTCTAGTTGTAACGAATTTACACTATCTTGACGTGTCAAAGGTAGTGCAAGTGTACCTGGGAAAATTATTATTGCTACTACTGTAGTAGTAGTAATGATATTGTAATTTTCCTGACTTGTACACCTGGACAGTTTTTGTACAGTTTTCGAGGCAAATATTACTTTAAGTTTTTATTAATCTTTTGATCATTCAAAACTTTTGGCCCAAAAGCGATTGCGACTTTAAACTCAGACTACAGCATAGAGCCTGGCCTGGGAGCCGAAGTGATTAACTGGAACGGTTGGTTTCGAATTCCATCCTATTTATTAGTGATGAGCCCCTCACTCGTGAGGTGCCTCGTTTGAGTTCCTCATTTCGACAAAATGAGGGAGTACTCGTTTTTCAATTTTGAACCACCTCATTAAGCTCCTCACTCAAAAAGTTTTTGAGTGAAGAGCAAAATAGCGAGTTGTTTCGAATGAAAAGGCGACTCGATACATACTCAATATATTCAAGATTGAGGGAATGAGTTAAGTTTTATGAGTTTTTTGGAACGATTCAGGTTTGTTTATGTGTTTCTTCGCAAATACGTTTTTAATATTTTATAGATAAATGATATTAATTAGTCTAAGTAAAAACCAAAGTTAATAAAAATGTATCGGTTTTATTTAGAAATATATTTATATTACGTTGTTTTTTTTTAAATTGATTAATTAATTAATATTATACTATTCGAAATATAAATGATTAATCGAATTTAACAATGGAACTTTTGTCACTATTAGAAATAAGTTGCGTGTTGTGGTTATTCTATTAAATAATAATCTAATAATGTTTATTTCTTAGAATCTAAAGACAAAATATGTTTTGTTTAGCATCACCGACTCCCTCCCTCATTTTGCACCAAACGGCAACGTCGCGCGTGCCTCGCGTATTTCGCGTACGTACTCATTCACTGCTACTGTAACATTGCCTATCCTCACCTCAAATGAGGGGTAACTCGCGAGCCCCTCACTAGGAAAAATGAGGTCCTCACTCAACCTCATTAAAAAAATGTGTGAGTTACACAATACTACTTCATATTTGACATAACAATATTGTAGCGACATTGCCACAAATTGCCTCGTATATATGACGCAGCAATTTAGAATCAAAGAAAAATCAAACTTTCCTCAAGTTAGCATGCTAATTGGGACAGTACTTGTGAAAGTCGAAAACTATGCTAACTACAGCAGGAGACTCTGTACTGAGAAGAATCAGCAAGAGACTCCGAAAGGGCTGCTTTTTTCTCCTTGTTTTATTTCTCACAGAGAATCTTATTGAAATGTGACTAAATTAGCCTAAGATGTCACTTTCTATGACAATATCAGAAATAACAAGATAGATATTTTTCGAATACTAATTAATATGCCGGTTGTCTAGTCAAATATGCACATTGACAAATCAATATATAATATTTATAATAAAATAAAATGGACGAAATTACGTAGTTCAGTGTTGACTTAACCCCACTGGCAGCACCCGTTGATGACCTTTCCACAGGCCTTCCATATAAAAAATCCACTTCTAAGGCTCAGTGTGGATTTTTTAAACGTCATCACATCTATAGCCAATATTGACAGTTCTAACGGGATTGTTGTGTCAAAAATCTAAATAAAAACTTCTGCTCTTTGGTAATGTATTGCTGCCATTGTGACTCATTGGTATGTGTGTATTAATGACTGAAAATACATGCTAAAACTTCGGTAACTTGCCTTCCGAGAGTAGAGGAGTTCGAGATAATAAATTGATTACCTATCGTATGATTAGCCTTTACAAAAGAACTGATTAACTTCCGCATCGCAGACCAAACGTGTTAACTACTGTGCTATTGAGCTTCTAGAAAGAAGCATTAAGACTACTCAATTCAAACGCCAACGTTTTAGTGAAAACAAAATATACTAAAATGAAGCTGTATGGGCTTAGCAGACCCCTTTACCATAAAGAACAGAATTAATATCTGTCAAATCATCACATCACAGTGACAATGACAGCTATTAATAGTGTCAGGCAGTGTGCGAGGTGCTTGGATTATAATACGAAATAAAGAATTCTTTATTTATTACTTAATTGTATTGCCTAAAGAAAAACGGCATGAGAGGAGCCAGTACACTTATACCAGCTCGATTTCTGACCCTCATTGGGCATTTGTGTGTAGTCGTAACGTTATTATGGGAGAGCAAGCAGAGCGTACGTCATTGTTTACCAAGCCAATATCACTCGAATTATATCCAGATTTATCACAACCGGTGAGTGAAATGAATGAATTTAATATTTATCATAAATTCATTGTTACATTGGTTTTTAATTGAGCTGCTTCTGTTAATTTGTTGATCTTTATGCTTGCTGAACGACGATAGCAAAAATTTGAACGCATTGCGCACACTATCACTACATTCTCGTGCAGGATGTTTCAGGTTTCACCGTGAAATAGCTATCTCATTGACTGAACTATCATTTATGTTTAAAAATAAAAATAATTTTAGTTATGATACAGAAATAAATTTCATATCTGTTTCATATGAGTGGATAGTATGTAATTATTGTATTTTGTAACCTTTTGACATTTTTGTTCCGCAAATTATGTATAAGCATGTATGGTGTGGATAAATAAGATGGTATATATATTATAGAATGTAGAAAAATGTAATCATTGCCTATCCACTATGTTATATGTATTTTTTTTTCAGTACTGCCATTACCATTTTTTAAGTGTTATATGTTTGATGTACAGTTTAAAATTCTTCTTTTGTTAATAAATGATGTAAATTGAAGGATCACTGCTCTAAATGGATTTTCATTAATTAATTTCTTCATTTAATGCTTTGTTACCACAATTACTTACTAATTAATAGTTACTCTAATTAAAAATATCTTATGGTTAGTTGTCAAACATAAACTTAAGATTAACCAGCTTTACTTAATATTACATAATCTATCTTAACTGAAATTAAGTTGATTAATCTTAATTCTGCATTTCATCACCAGCCCTTTTACGTCCCCACTGCAGGGGTCAGGCCTTCCTTATGGATGGTTAAGGTTACCCTCCAATCCGCATTGGGCCAGTGTGGCGGGTCAGGGCCCATCCTCCTTAACTATCCAATTCTGCATTTACATCTATAAAATACCTTTATAGATGTAAATGCAGAAGTTTCTGATCATAAATCATAATGAATGTCAGACCCTAAGATATATAAGGTTGCTAATAGGTATACATAAGTAAAATTGATCAAATATAATATGTAAGGTTCAAAAAATTTACTTGCCCTAGGTACTTTGTGATGGGACTGGAACCCACAATCTTTCCCAATCCAGGCAACTGGTCTAAGCACTGAGCTGACTGACCTAACAATGCTGACGGATTCCTTGAGAACTTGTTAATTTTTCGCTACCAACAAGTGTATTTTCATCAATGTTTACAATGTAATGTTCATTATCAGTACAGATTCTTATTGCGTTTTAAAAATCTACACTTCTCATAGATGGCTAAAAAATAAGTTTATTTTAAAATATGATCAAGGTTGACAAGTTTTTTCATAACAGAAATATACTAACCAAAGTAAAATCCTGTTATTCAGCTTGCTTGCTTACTATTTTTGGAAATGGTGGTACACAGGGTATTTATCCTAAGAAAACCTTACCAAAATGGCCATATACTGGGTTAGAAAAAATTTGATCGTTCTTTATTCTGTCCTCCTTATAATTTGCAGGTCACATGAACACACTGCTGGATTTTATTTTCACTGTAGTCAAAAGCTTTTGCTTTTATCTATTAATTTAGGGGGTGGACGAACTGTATTTGTATAAAGAATTTAGAGTGCAGTTTGATGTTTTGAAAATAGAACAACATTCTTCTCTCTGCATCATACTTTATATCAGGTTTCAATCAATCAGTGAGAAATGAGTAGGCACAAAATTTTCATTTACTTATTCTAGTATTGTGGACATAAGGATGTCCTTTGTTAAGGACAAGGAAGAGGAAGTTTTCTGACCTACACCAATAATTGGTGAAAATCAGTTGACCTCAAACACTGGATTTTTATTATGATCAAATTCCAATTGCCATTTTTTTGTGTGTTTTTCCAATTATTGCCTGATTAATAGTGATTTCCATTTATGTCTGGAAGGGGTGTAAGGGGGTCCGAACAACATCTAACGGATCCCAAGCCAACCTCACCTGCACGCGGTACACCCTGCCGACTAACCAACGAGGCTCTGGCGCTCCCCACCAACCCGCATTGGGCCAGCGTGGTGGGAGACGGCCCAAAACCCCTCAGAGATAAAAATTGAACCAAACGAAAGGCCCCGAGTGCCCGGCGGTGCCGTAAGCCGTGCTGGCGCGGACGGACGCCAACTCGGCGAAGGCACCAGGGGTGCGAAGAATCCCCGGGCGGCAAAGATCCCCCGTCAAACGACCTTGGCCCTGGCAACCTACAACGCACGCACACTGCGGACCGAGGAGAAGCTGCTGGAACTAGAGAAGGAATTGGGCAGGATTCGTTGGAGTATTGTAGGATTATCCGAAGTCCGAAGAGAGGGCGAGGACACGATGATCCTTAAATCCGGTAACCTGCTCTATTTCCGGGAGGGCGAAGATCTGTCCCAAGGTGGCGTCGGGTTTATCGTCCACAAGTCTCTCGTGAACAATATTGTACAGATCGGAAGTGTATCGAATAGGGTGGCGTACCTTATACTCAGAATCACCGAACGGTATTCGCTGAAGGTCATACAGGTTTACGCCCCGACCTCGACGCACCCCGACGAGGAAGTGGAAGCCATGTATGAGGACATTTCCCGGGCAATACATGGTTCCACGACCCACTACACTGTTGTCATGGGAGACTTCAACGCAAGGCTAGGCAAGCGTGGCGATGAGGAGTTGAAGGTGGGGCATTTTGGATCTGGGATCCGGAATCACCGTGGTCAAATGCTAGCCGACTACATGGAGAGGGAAGGACTCTATATGATGAACTCCTTCTTCAAAAAACGGTTGCATCGAAAGTGGACCTGGAAGAGTCCGGATGGTGTGACAAAAAGCGAGATCGACTTCATCATGTCGACTAAGACTCGGATATTCAATGACGTCTCAGTGATCAATTCGTTTAATACGGGAAGCGATCACCGTATGGTAAGAGGCGCATTGAATCTAAATGTAAAAGCTGAACGGTATCGACTGGTGAAGTCTACGCTCCGTCCTGAAGCCACCCAGATCCGGGACCCCGAGCACTTTCAGCTCGAACTTCAAAACCGCTTCGATTGCCTGGAGAGCTGCTCGGATGTGGACGAATACAATGACAGGGTCGTAGAAGCTGTCCTTACGGTGGGTTCAAAATTCCTCAAACCTCGCCGTACTCAAAAAAGAAGCAAGATCTCGGAGCAGACAAGCAAGCTAATGGAAGAAAGGCGTGAAATGGTTCTGCAATCTTCTGAGGATGCTCGTCGGCAACTCAATAGACAGATCTCGAAGTCTCTCACACGCGACATACGCCAATTTAATACTCAATGTATTAAGGAGGCGATTGAGCGGAATAAAGGCTCCAAAGTGTTCGCTAGAGATCTGTCTCTCGGACAAAGCTTGCTGACGAAGCTAAAGACAGAGGACGGCAGAGTCGTTACATCCCGTCCTGAGCTTGTGGCGGAGATCGAACGCTTCTATGGACAGTTATACACAACATCACAGAAACCTGTCATTGAGGCTACAGACCCTAGAGCCAAATTAACCCGACATTATACCGAAGACATCCCGGACGTCAGTCTATACGAGATTAGTGTGGCTCTCAAACAGCTCAAGAACAACAAGGCGCCGGGGTATGATGGAATCACAGCGGAACTTCTGAAAGCGTGTGGACTACCAGTCCGGAAAGCGCTTCAGAAGCTATTTAATTCCGCCATACTCGAGGGCAAGACGCCAGAAGCATGGCACAGGGGCGTGGTGGTGCTTTTCTTCAAAAAGGGCGACAGGGCCCAATTGAGGAATTACAGACCCATCACGCTTCTGAGTCATGTGTACAAGCTGTTTTCGAGAGTCATCACGAATCGTCTCGCACGTAGATTTGACGACTTCCAGCCTCCTGAACAAGCCGGTTTCCGAAAAGGTTACAGTACCATAGACCACATTCATACGCTGCGACAGGTTATACAGAAGACCGAAGAGTATAATCTGCCACTATGCTTGGCGTTTGTGGACTATGAGAAAGCCTTCGACTCCGTCGAGACCTGGGCCGTGCTTAGGTCACTCCAGAGGTGCCAAATAGACTATCGATACATCCAAGTGCTGCAGTCACTGTACGAAAATGCCACCATGTCAGTTCGGCTCCAGGACCAAAACTCGAAAGCAATACGACTTCAGCGTGGAGTGAGACAGGGCGACGTTATATCGCCGAAACTGTTCACTGCCGCACTGGAGGACGTGTTTAAGCTTTTGGACTGGAGAGGACTTGGCATCAATATAAACGGCGAGTACATGACGCACCTTCGTTTCGCTGATGATATCGTAGTCATGGCTGAGACCATGGAAGATCTAGGCACAATGCTCGAAGACCTCTGTAGAGTTTCCCAGCAAGTGGGTCTTAAAATGAACATGGAGAAGACAAAAATAATGTCAAACTCCCATGTCGTACCCACTCCAGTGAATGTTGGAGGCTCTACACTGGAAGCTGTCGACGAGTACCTTTACCTGGGACAAATAGTCCGATTAGGTAAGTCCAACTTCCAGAGAGAGGTAAGTCGACGGATCCAACTCGGCTGGGCAGCGTTCGGGAAGCTACGCAGTGTATTCTCGGAACATCTACCGCAGTGTCTCAAGACAAAAGTCTTTAATTCGTGCGTGTTGCCAGTGATGACTTACGGTGCTGAGACGTGGCAGCTTACGATGGGCCTCATAAGGAAGCTCAAGGTCGCTCAGAGGGCAATGGAAAGGGCTATGCTCGGGGTTTCTTTGCGAGATCGAATTAGAAATGATGAGATCCGCAGAAGAACTAAAGTCACCGACATAGCCCACAGAATTGCAAACCTCAAGTGGCAGTGGGCAGGGCACATCGCTCGCAGGACTGACGGCCGTTGGGGCGGTAAGGTCCTGGAGTGGCGACCGCGTACCGGGAGACGCAGTGTTGGCAGGCCCCCCACAAGGTGGACCGACGATCTGGTGAAGGTCGCGGGAAGCCGCTGGATGCGGGAAGCGCAGGACCGATCGTTTTGGAGATCTTTGGGGGAGGCCTATGCCCAGCAGTGGGCGTCTCTCGGCTGAAAT